CTGAATGTCCAGCAGGCACGCTGCGAGAATGTCCTGCACTTGGGAACTGTGTTCCCTTGGGAACTGTTCTGCGCTTCCCAACTGTTCTGCCCTGCGAACCGTGTGCTACAGGCGCTCTGTGTTGCCTTTTTTACCTAGAGGAACTGCAGGTTGTTCATTGGTTGAAAGTTTCATGGGCATCAGAGACCCACGTGGGTTTAACCTATCCTACCAGTTCCTGATTGGCTGATGATGAGTAACCATGCCCTCTGACCTTAGGGTCATAAACCAACTTTGAATAACACTTTCCCTTGGAATCTCAGACTTTAAGGCACCGACATGAGCATTTATTAAGGTTCCTGGAGAATATCAGGAATTGGGAGTTGCTCTTTATCTGGACACTCTCTCAGCTAGAAAAACCTTAATTGTGAGCCAAATGGAATGGCCTCTCTCGGTATCAAGCACCACTGAGATGAAGGAGAGAGGGACTGGCAAGGGAACAGAAAGCTTAATTCCTGTATTTTAATAAGCCTTGCTGCTACAAAAGGATGACTGTAAAATTAATTATTTTACTTTATTAATGCTCCTCCCCACTGGCCAACTACTATTATAACAGCACCAACAAGTAATATTTCTTAGAAGTTTTCAGTGATGCTTAGGTTAGAAGTTTAAAATGGGAATATGACAACAGAATACCAAAGGAGGGAGTATTCTGTATTGATTATAACAACCTTCAAGTAAAAGAGAAAAAACATTTTCAGAAGAAGAGAAACGTTGCAGTCTTCAAAATGAATTCACATTTTTTGGGGCTGAACAAAACTTTATCTAAACATAGTCACAACACCCTTTCTCAAAGCTAGATTTCTGTTTCTGTCCAACTGCCATTAAATTCTTTAACAAGTCCTGAAATTAAATTTGGATTTCTGCGTGTAGGGCTAAAGCTGGCCAAGACCCATAACAACATAACACCTGCAGATATATTTCCAATTCACCACTTCTCACACAGATTCTGGAATGAGTAATGGCAGTTCAATTACCACCGTGTCTTGCATCAAATGAGCACTGCAAACATTTTTAGCCAATGTTTAGACAAATAGTTTGGACCGAAATATCACTTGTTAAGGTACAGTAGTTGATACTCTATTGATGGCTTCTGACTTTGAGCCATTTAATATACTTTTCCTTCTAGATTTAAGTGTAATGTTTTTATACTGTCAATCATGGTATTCTACTGGATCATGTGAAAATTATCTACTGATCATTGCAACATCTCTTATTTGGTTTGGATCCAGTTGTAGAGTAAAAATCCACTGGAGACCTTTTTTGCTGAGCAGAAGAGTTTATTGTGTAATCGGCCAAGGAGAAACACTCTGACTGTAATTAGGAAGATGTTTCCCAAAAAGAAGAGTTACAGTTGATCTTTTATTCACTTTACTTGATAAGGAAAACAAAAAGCTTAACTCTCAAACAGAAAAAAAACTTAATTCTTACTTAATATCTATTGGTTAAGTAAACCTCTACTTTTAATCAGGAGATGTCTACGTAACTATCAATGTTTTCTACAAGCAGGTGGTTATAATTGGCCTTCAACTCTGAATAATCTTTGGGATTCTAAAACACGCATGTTTTCTCTGTGTCCGCAGGCCTTATCAGTTGCTGTTTCTTCTTGCTGAATATGGTTTACAGAGAAGGAATTTCCAACCCTACTATAGTTTATCTATGTTTAAATCAAATGTTGTTTTACTTACTCAGGCTTTACACAGGGTGTTGTGTTGGGAGTTTTAGCAGCACACAATACATTTTTTTCAAAGAATGTTAAGATGATGTCTTTCTTAGTGAGACAAAAATGAAACATGTTTCTTCTTAGACGGTAACAGCAACAGTAAAGAAATATTTAGATGGTACATCTGTGTTAGATTGTCCACCATCATGAATTTGGGTTTCTCTGCTACATGTATGCTGATTGTCACATGGAGGGCAGGAGGAGTGCCCAAGTGAGTTCTTTCAAAACAGAATGATGGCTCAGCCGCAATAGCACTTACAGAAGGGGTGCAAAAGTGGTTTATTTGGACAGTGCTCACCACAGACCAACAAAACAAATATATGTACAGATGCAGCCATTAAAAATGCACGGTAAAATGATTACTGCTTCTTGAAGGTTTACAGTATGTTGGTGAAGTCTGTTAATAAACACATTTTTACTGTGTGATCTACTATTCAATTTATACTTTAGTATTTTGTTGTTATTATTACGCATCAGCTATTGTAGTAAAATGGTTAAATACATTGAACTGGCTTAGGCAAATATTTTTTTTGTGAAATTAATGCCATAAGTTTAAAGTTTATTTATTATTGCAATGTTTGCATATCTTGCTTCAGAATGATAGGTTTAATGTCAGTTTGACATTAAAACTGCTATTGGTACATGGTGACATTAATGTTTTTTTCATATCCCTTTCATCAATATTTGCATTACATAAATGTTTAAAAAGGTTGAAACTCTTGCATTGCTGTAACATGTGTCAACTGTTTAATGATTGTACAGGTTTAAATTGCACTGAATTACCACTTACAGGGAAAAAGGTCTCCATAAAAACTGAAATTACTATGTCTGGTCACTAGATGGAGCAGAAATATCTCTTTTGTTGATTTATAAAACATGAACTATGAAACATCTTCCTTTTGAGAAGCATTCACCTTTATTTTCTATTTACAGCTGCTACAGTAAATGTAATTTCTATCCCCTTGTTTCTTTATGCTCAAAACATCACATACTGTATGCCAGTGGCCCTCCCTTAATCCTGGGGAATATTCTACTCTTTATGTGGGTTTACATTGAAACTGAGCTCTAATTTTACCACTGCATTTATAACTGAACTGCTTGTTTGTTGAAGCTTGGTTTATATGTTACAGAATTCAAGCCCTAAGTTTCATAAATGCCCTACTTGAAGCATATTGTTTCTACCAACATTCAGCATAGAGAATTTTAGTCTGTCTACCTGAGTTGTTAAGGTATAGTTCTGATAGCAGCTTTTAATGGGTGCTCAGTTTATTAAAATAGAAACAGGTGTCAATATATCAGTGTGCTCACATCAATCTTATTGTTTTTCTTCTGCAGAAGTCTGCTTGGCTCAGACATACTGTAGGTAGAGGTTTGATACCAATTACAATTCAGAAGTCATCAAAGAATTTAAAGTAAACTAAAAAATGTGCCACAAACAAAAAAGTCAAATAGCCTGTGTTGGAGGAAAAGCCAGAAAACCAGAAGGTTACATAGGTTCCCCAGGAGTGTGTTTGGAAACCTTTGATTTGTGTAGTTTCCATTAGTTTCAAATTCCTTTAAGCACCTAGTATAGCGAACCATTGACAAAAGAAAAGATTTCTGAAGACTGAACAACTGAAAAGTTAAATTTCAGGGTCTAACCAATGATGAATGCCGAAAAGAAGATAAAAGTACTAAAATTGATACCTGACTTGTGATTGTGCTTGAGTTGGGGTCTCAAGATGATTCCAAGGTTTTTGTATATTGCTTTTGTAGAATTAAAAAAAATGTAAACATAAACATCTTCAATCTTCAATTTCTTTTGCATATATGTGAAAAAAAAACATTATTTTTCCAACCAATTGTCTTCTTTAAACTCTTAAATTACTTAAACATGGTAATCAGTGTTACATATATTCCTCACACTGTCTAGCACAAATATTTAACTGGGTTTAAGGTTCCCACTTGCCATAGGTTTGTATGGGAGAGCCCCTTCTCTATTTATCATCTTGTGTAATGAATGACCTTGCTATGGCAGCATCTTTCCACATTGTTAAAAAGCCCTGTGCCAGGAAATCAGTAATTAGTTGATTGGTTGAGAGGTTGATGGTTTGGGGTTTTAAGGGGTGCTAGTGACAGTAGTTTAAATCCAGTTTTAGCATGCTCTTAAACATAGCACTCTCACACACTGACTCAGTAATATACAATAGTTATGCAATGTTTCTTGCTGCTAATTTTACCACTGCTTACGTTATTTAATTGTCAATGCGTTGTATATTTAAAATCAAATACAGAATGTGGAAGGTGTATTATGTTGGGTACAAAATCAGAGATTCACATAATTCTGATGAGGTAGTTGGTGTATGCTAGTACAAAGGAAGATTGATATGTACAAAGAGCTTCCAGAGACAGTCTAAAGCATGCGTGACACCTCATTTAGAATATGTTGTGTCTTTTCGTGCATTACTGTTTATACAAAAAGAAATTGGTGTTTAATTAGTATAAGAGAGATCAACCACGCAGGTTGATTTTAGATATAAAGGCCTGTCTATTAACACTACAAGGTTAAAACTATTTAAATCATAAAATACTTTAGTATTTTATCTTGATTGATTCAAGTATTAAAAATACTTAATGATGCCCGTTGCTTCAGTGTCAGCATTGAAAATCAAACCATAGGACACAAGAAACCAGACAAAGTGCAAAAAAGTCTAAGAGCAAAATATTTTTACACATGTTTTAGACAAAGGGTTTTAGTTTCTGGTACAAGGTACCCAACCAAATTAGTGAGGCAAATTACCCATTTTCCATCCAGAAAATTCTATCTATCTTTTTTATGGTTGTTAGTAGCTTATTAATTCTTGAATCCCATGAACTGGAAAAGTCAGCTGAATCAGTGAAATATGAATAATAGTTATATTTCAATCACCAAGAGATCTGTTGAAAAAGAGATGCCACCTGTTTTCATTTATATAGTACCCTTTTTCAGAGTGAATAGACTGTTTTCTAAATTTGATCTTAAAATTCTTTCATTTTTTTATTATAAATGTTTCCTTGCATTCAGAAAATGGTTGAATATCACCCCATATCTGAAAACCAAAATGATTAAATTAACAGTGCTCTGGGTCATTTTAACCGAGCTGACTGGATGACAGTGAATTCCAAAAGATATAAAGTCTGAAGTTCAGAAACTCTAACCCCTCAAGTTTTCTATAAATAATACACATGCAGTCTTTTGGACTCAATTACAGATGTTATCATGAAGGGACTTCTCTTAATAGTGAGTTTAGCCTTAGTGGGTAAGTTGTCTTAGATTGGAACCCCTTTTAAAATGTAATATATATATTTGGCTATTTAAAGGCATTGATTTCTTTCCTTTCTGTGTTATTTTAGGATGTGATAAAACCAGTTTAGGTAAGTATTATACAGTTAATATGTTGAAATTCCATAAATATTTAAATGTTATTTCAAAATAAGACTGGTGTTAAGTCAGATCAAAATGTAATCAAATTTAGTAAACCTAAGTGCACTTTTATAGTTCATTTATGCACTATAACAAATATATACAGTATGTACAGTATACAGTATGTTTTTGCAGTTCATGTGTAGGGCAACACAGTGGCACAGTGTTTAGCTTTGCTACGTTGCAGGGCTGGGCCCCTGGGTTCAATTCCAGAAGTGCGGAGTTTGTATGTTCTCACAGTGTTTTGTGGGTTTTTTCCTGGGGATTTGGTTTCCTATCACAGTGCAAAGACAAACTGTTAGGTTAAATGGCTTCTAGAAAAAGTGTGAGTGTGTGCATGTTTGTGTCTGTGTGTGTCCTGCGATGGACTGGTGTCTCGTTAAGGATTTATCCTGCCATACAGTCTGTACATTGCTTGCCAGGATAGAGTCTGGGTCCCCCACAACCCTGAATTAGATAAAGCAGTTAGTAAATGGATGGATGGGTGGATTATATATGTGGAAATTAATATTTTTTGGTTGCTATAAGTGTATATTGATGGAGTTCTAACTGAAAATACAGTAATATGCTTACACTATACCTGGTATAAACAGTATGTACTGTAGATGTTAAGATTATACTGAAACCATATAAAATATATACATGCATAAATAAATGTATACATTTAAATATGAAAATTATACTGTATACTGTAATCAGTAATAGAATTATTACATTTGAAAGAACATTTTAAAATTGTGCAAGCTGTTAAGCACATCAATTGTTTAATTGGAATAGTAGTAATAGGTATAAATACACATATTAAGAAGATATACATAGACAGATTAAAAAGAATGAAATAAAACCCAACATTTCATTCTGCATATTGTCTATACATTCTTAATCATGTTTTTTTAGTGTTTTTTTCTGTATGTGTACCAAAAGTAGCATTTGTAGAGCATTTAAAGAATCAAAAATAGCATTATGGTGCCACCAGTATCAATTTTCAGCTATGCTACTGAAAGAATTTTGCTTTCCAAAAGAATTCTAAACAAAGGCGAATGGATGGCAAACCCAAAGGAAGACAAATGAGACTACTCAAAATTAGTCATCTAGATATACCTTCACTGCCCTCCATATGTATTCAGACAGTGATGTCAAAATTGCCTTTTTTTTGCTGTATAATCAAGCAATTCAAATCTGGGATGAAAAGATTAATAGGATGCAAGTGTCACCTTTAATTTCTGATTATTTATGTGTGTATATATTGTACTGTTTCAGAATAATAGCAGTTATTGTGTTTTATCCCCCCCCATTTCAAAACCATAGGATTTAGCCTTTTCTCTTCCTTTTGGTATCTGCCTTTGGAGTCAGAGGGCCAAAACCAAAATGAAGACTTCATCAGAATTATAAAGGCTATGCCACAAGATGCAAACCACTCATCAGCACCAAAAATAGAAGGATTACAATTTGTAAAAAGTACAGAGATGAGCCAGTGGAGCTCTGGAACAAAACATTATGGACAGATGAGACAAAAATAAACCCCTTCTAAAGTGATGGCAAGCTGAAAGTGTGGAACGAACTGCAGATGTTCACTCATCTTTATTGATGATGGAACTAATGTCTGTAGCAACTTGAATAATTTCACAAGTGTACAGGAATATCTTGTCTGTCAATATGTACAGATATGTCAGTATGTCCAACATGTAGCAAGACAATAATCCAAAACACATGGTTAACACAATCATGTTCAATGGGAAAAAAAGTGGAAAGTTTTAGACTGGCCAAGTCAATCTCCTGATTTAAATGCAATTGAGCATGTATTTCACTTGCTGAAAAGAAAAGACTGAAGTCAGAAGCTGCCCAAAACAAACAATAGTTTGGTGATGTCAGTGGGCTGCAGGCCTGATGCAGTTATTGTGTGCAAATAATTTGCAACCAAATACCAAATAATAGTTTTATATTACTTTAATTTTCTTAAATTTGTTCCAGTATTTACAGTATGCTAAAATAGTAGGATGGAACACAAAAAGTAGTATTATTCTAAAACATTTTAGAAGCACAAATTCCCAGAAACACCCAGAATAAAAGGTGATATTCTATACTTTGGCTCATATTCATATTTTCATCTCAAATTTGAATGGCTTGGGTTTAGCAAAAATAACTATTTTGACTTCACTGGAGGATAGGGTATTTATTCAAAATAACATTTCTTAGTTCAGGTGGGTAGCTGCATCAGCATGTTTAGCTGCAAAGGAACAACTGATAGGTTTATTCCATGCTGAAAAGAGAAGAAAGAAAACATAACATTTTGGCTGTGAAGGCTCAGCATGGAATAACATTTCTTAGTTCTCAAGCCACAATGTTTCTTGATATTCATTACTTGTATTACACAGTACTTTCAAACCTTTGTTGTTTTAGGAATCTTTATGTGGGTACCTAAAAAAGGTGAACTGTCATTTTAATGAGTTTACATACAATACAAATACATATAATACGTTATAAAAGGTAAAGATAACTCTGTCAAATGTAAGAGACAGGAGGGTGCAATTCAGAATTTTTAGGAAGTTCCAGGACAATTGGGTAGAATGATGAGCCCTGTGAGGCACCACATCACTCATAAAGTGAGTTGTAATAATTCATAACATGTATTTACTTACTCATCATTCTCCTTACATTCATTCAATACATTAATTCAATTCTTTGATTAAGAACCAGGGCTGAATTCAAGAAAGACCTATGAGTACAATTATGAGGGAACCGTGAGAATTGGACATGTTGAAAAGAATATGGTGGAATCAGGCTTAAAAATCTCCTGTTCGGTAGAAATCAGCGGGATTGCAGATCACACCTTCCTTCTCAAGGTACTGTACATATCTATTACTTTATGTGTACTGTATATTTCTACTTCTGTTAAAACAAGTATAAAAGTATAGGCAAATTAGTCTTTTTAGAGAATTAAACAGTCTACAAGAGAAATGATTATTCTGCAAGTTAAGGAAAAATAGAATTTGTGCCTTCCGGATGCAACTTGGATTTACATCCATGGGCATCTTGTAGCCAGTTCTAAATTTATTTTTAATTTATAGATAATTAAATTTGATTAGTTTTCACTGTTATTCACCATAGTGAAACACATAACAATAAGCCTTAATATCCCTTACTAAATATGTGTAGTTCACATTTTAGTAAATGTTTCTGAAAAATATGTAACCATGCTACAGTAAAACAGCCAAAAGCATAGAAATATTGTTCTAGAAAAATCAGAAATTTCAGTTCATGTACTGTATGTTTTTCTTATTGTGTAGTATTTTTTATGGCTATTCAAATATGATATTTCTTGTTCCATTAATAATCAAAGTAGACTTTAGAATAGGTCTTCCCTTTTATCTAACCTAGCACTTCAGTTATACAGCAGGAAATGTCTTCAAACAGGAGTGCCTGGAGTTTCCCTAAATGTTCATTTGATCATTGCTATTTTTATAGGTTATCAATCTGTCCGTTGAAGAATTAAATGGTATCCCTGGAAAGAGTGGATTTTATTCCTCACCAAAGCTGACAGACAGAATATCTTCACAACTTACACAACCCATTAAATTTGAGTACATTAGAGGACAAATTAAGGACATCTATGCGGCACCAAATGTCTCTGAGACAGTTGTGAACATTGTGAGAGGAATTCTCAATTTTCTACAAGTCACAGTCAAGAACACTCATGCTGTTTATCAACTTGAAGAGGTTTGTATCATTATTTTAAAACAGTTTTGTTTTGTCTGAAAGTATATGCTCCATTAAAGGATAAAATATAAAGTATTATACCGGAACAATTATAGCAATACTAAATATACAGTATGTACAGTAATCTTTACAGACTTGATATATACAGTATAAGCTGTATATACAGTATATCAAGTCCCTCTCATACAGATCATTGAATAATCTACTATGCTTGTCTGCTAATGTGATGTTAACATTCTATATTTCATTTGATCTATATTCACTTTTACAAGGTTTTATGTCAAGAATATTGATCTGAAACAGGATAAAAGTGTACCAAAACAACACTTTATTTATTTTTGCAGCTTGGAATCCATGGCTTTTGCCATACCAGCTACGTTATTGAAAAGGACAAAAAATCCAAGGAAATCTATATCACTCGATCAACAGACTTAAGAAATTGTCAGGAAAAGGCAGAAAAGTATATTGGTCTAGCTAATGCTCCAAAATGTAAAAACTGTAAAGAGGTAAAATAATTTTTTTCTTTTTTAAATAAATCATTCAAAAATGTGGATTTTAAAAAAAATGTAATTAATACCATGATAGAAGCCAGCTATGATACCAAGTGGAAGAAAAAATACATAATTTTTAAACTTTTCATCCTTGAAATAAGCACAAATAATACAACTGTGTCTCTCTTACACACTTGTTATGATGCTATGACATTACTGAAGAAGAAAAGTACTGAAGTACTAGATCTGTACTAAAGTAGGCTATTTCTCTTAAAACATAACTAATGTGTTCTGTAATTATACATTTAGAAAGGCTCACAAGCAGAAGAAACTGTCACATATACCTACACCATGAAACTAACTGACGAAGGTGCCTTGATCACTGAAGCAAATGTACAAGAAATGCACCAATTTACACCATTCAATGTAAAGGAAGGAACTTCTCTACTGGAGGCAACGTATGTCAATTGTTTATGGACTTGTTCATTGTTGGTTTGTACCAGTTAATGATTTTCTTAACCTTATTTGAAACATGGGGATTCAGGATTTATTGTTTTGGGGAACTACAGGGAGTTCTCCCTGTGTTTGCATGGGTTTACTCCAGGTTGCCCTAGTTTCCTTTGGCAGTTGAAAGACATACTGGTATATTGATTGGCTTCTGGACAAACTGGCACTTGGTGTGAGTGAGTGCAAGTCTGTGTGTTTGTCCTGGAATGGATTGGATCACATCAGAATGTACCAGCCTTGAGTCTGTTGCTTGCTTTGTCACTGCCCTGAATTGGAAGAATAATTTAGAATATGAAAAGTGAAGTACAAAACTTCAACAAACAATAATACATTTTCCAAAGATGTTGTTTGAATTCATAGGTATTATGGAACATATTTTACATAGATTTTTTTTTCTGCTTTACTTTCTCAAATAATCTGTTTTATAGTAAAACATTTGTGCTAGTAAATGTGAAGGATGCACAAGGGAAACCACCTAAAATACTACTCCAGAACAAAGGAAATCTGAAGTACAAGTTTGGAAGTGAATTAAATCAAATACCACTAGTTTTAATGAAAATGGAAAACCCAGAGTTCAAGGTACCGATATGAATCACCATTATTATCTTATGAGTCTTAAAAGAAAACAAATCATTTGCATGTTTAAATTTATTCTTCAGTGTCTGTTTCTAAAAGATGATAAATTAACCAGAATCATTAAGTGGTTTTCAGCTTCATTTTTAGTATTAATATGATTATGGTTTTAACGTTCAGCAAAGTCATTAACTTTATTGCATTTCATTGCATTGCCTACCTCACAGAGCTGCACATAGAGGTATATATTGTATAATCAATTATAAAAGAAATTCAGTTAACAAATAAAGTTAGAAACAAAATAATTTAGACATCATTGTATTTAACATATTAAATAATTTAATAAACTAATCTTACATCTTCTTACATAATGCATTTCAGATTGCAGAATTAATTCAGCGCTTGGTGCAGGCCAATACACAGCAGATAGATGCTAATTCAACCACTGATATCCTAAAGCTGTATCAAGTCCTGCGTGGTTCAACAATTGCAAACCTTGAGGCTGTATGGAAAAAATCTTCTGATGACACAAACAAAAGGTAAATGTATACATAAAACAATTTTCCATTATTCTGATTAGTTTGTTTAGTCTCTAATGTGAATTTTGAAAAATATTCACTTTGTTGACACTTTCTCTCATCACAATCTTGTGTAAACGGTCAATTTTACATTTTATATTTTAATCAGTGCTTTGAAAGTTTTCATTTTTATTATATACATATTCATAAGTTCATATGTATTATATACATTTCATAAAAGCAAAAAGTCAAAAGACCTAAATAAACCCCACTTCAGTCTTTTTGATAAATATAATTGAAAGAAAATGTATCTATTGGAATCCTGACAGTTTATGTATTCTTAGGATATTATGAAAGTTGTATTTTTATTTTCATTTTTGTTCCATGGCTTTTTATTGTTACACTTGGCTAATGAAGGAATTTAATGTATTTTCAGTATACTCCCCTTTTGCTCCAATGATTTTTCCCCTCTGTGAAACGATATCGGCATTTGTATTTATGCAGGTTGTTTGTTATGTCACTTACTTAACAATGATATGCAATGTGATATTTCAACCATGTAGCAAATACTATACAGATGCAAAAACATGAAAGTTTGCTGCCCTAAGGATAATCTATATGATGGGCTTAGATTCTCCACAGTGTACACTTTAATGTTGTTGTAGACTACACAAAATGCTATTGTGCATTGACATGAAGTAAAAGAGCAGTAGCAGGCTATAAGCTGGGATACTTCTGCAAGATATATTAATAATGCTATATTGTGCATTCTAGCTGGAGGTGCCTGTTGGTTAGATGACAGTTGCAGATAATTAAAATTATTTAACTTATATATAGAATTTATCATATGCAACCCCATATCGGTGTTACCAAGTGGAGATTTGTCTTGATCGTCTGTGTGGCAGATGCACTCAGCATGTACATATTGTATTACTGACTTACTTTGACTTCCTGTAAGGGAATGCTTTTGTTTGACTAGCCCCATAAAACTCACTGTTTTACAGCATCTCAGTAAATACTCTCAAGATACTGTTGAAATGTCCTTTATTGCATTGTCTAACTACAGCCAAAATATCTATATTACAGGTGGATGCTGACATACCCTGTGATTGCACTCGGTGGCATCCATCTGTTGAAATTATTCTTATGCAAAAAGATATGGCTAGGTTATACATTTTGTCATACTGCAAAAAGGAATGAGGCTATGGTTGAATGTTTCCTCTTATTTTAAAAATCTGCCTCATTATCTCTTTTTGCCCCTTTTTTCTTAATTTATGAGCTTACAATTTTTTGTGCCATTTATAATAGTTCTTTCAAAAAACAAAATCGGTGTTAATCAAGAATATTGTACTTACAGGAGGTGGCTACTGGACTCCATGACTGCAATTTCAGATACCAAGATAATAACATTTGTTAAAAACAGAATTAGGAATAAAGAGATTACACCAAATGAAGCGGGACAAGCTTTGCTCGTAATACTCAATAAAATCACACCTGATTCTGAAGCAGTTGAACAGTCTCGGGTAAGGCTAACTATATGCCATATGTTTATTACATTATGCAATAATTCTTGCAGAAACTGAATAGAATGTGTATTAACATACATATTTTGAAGCCATAAGAAATATAAAAAAGTCTGAATACTTTTTACTGAAGAAACTGAAGAAAAGTAGAAATATGCCATTTAATGGAAATTTAATTTCAGAAGGTTGCTGTGCAGATAGACTGAGTTTTTGTATCAGAGCTGCCAAAACCATCCCTGATTAAGTACATACAGTGGTATAAAGTAAATATGACAATACACCTTCTTTCCAAGCATATAACAATTTCATTTCACACAAGGTGACCTATTTTGCTTTCTTAAACAAATTAGTAGTTGTGCATCCAAAAACATACAGAATTTTGTCACTGGTTTTTGCCCCAGTTGTTCATTTTTCAAAAAACACTATTAACTTCTGAAGAACTGAAAAGTTTTAGTGTATCCTCTCTAATAGTAGTACTAACATATTAGACACTACTTCTATTGCTGAAGAAGCAAGGCTTTGTTGCCTGTGTATGTTACCTTGTGCTATGAGGTTCACTTTCTATACATATAGTATTACACCCAAGCTTCTATTTGCACCATTATATCAACATACCTGATGGGCATTTTATACTGTGGTATGGTACTTTTTGACCTTGCATGTGCCTCTAGTGAAATCAGTGCAACGGTGCAAATCTTCACCAGAGCTATTGTACATGTAGTCCCCTGCATGTCCCTTGTTTTCCCATACACTTATTGCCTTACATGCACGGGTACCTCCTCTATAGTTTGTACTGTGAATTTGAGCTCTTATAGAGTGGCCAGTGCAACTCTTACATTCATTCTTTGACACTACAGAATCTATCCCCCTATATTCTCCATGTCTTCAAGGCTTCCCTGACTTCCTATTCGTGACCCTACCCTAACAATCCATGGAAGTCACTGGTCTGACTTAATTCCCACTAGCTGCCTCTGCAGTCAAAATCCTGGTGCAAACCCTGATGTAGGGGGTTTGTGAATTAACTGGCACAATATTTAGTTGTAACAGTAAATTGCATGAGTTTACTTTGGCGTTTTAGGAATCAATCACCGAGACAACAAGGAGTCTTCACAAGGATTTACAACACACGGAATACATTTATTTATACACAGAAACAATGTGTACAAAAAAGCATTCAAAGTGCACAGGGTGGTGACTGCTCAGTCGGGGGGAATAAAAAAAAAAGGGAGAAACTTGCTTTGCTCCCTGTGTTGCAGTTACTGCTGAATAATGCTCTATTCAGGCATGTCGATGTAAAGTCCGACTGTATTGCTCTGGTGATCGAGCTGATGCACGGTGGTAGCTAGCTGGTCATGAGGTCCTGTTGCAGGCTACACCTCGGACAGAATTCTGTCTTTATGTATGGGCTTGCCCTCTAACTTGCTGCTTTGGGAAAAAGTCCCAAAATTCAAACAACAAGCTTGGCAAGCATGTGGTTCTACTGTCAGCCAGCCAATTTGGTTCAGCAGAGAGAGGAGGGTGGCCAAGTTAGAAGTGATACACTGCTTTTTAATTGGGGAAAATACAGTTAGTGATTGATCAAGAAGCTACCAGGTGGAGTGGGTACCAACACCCTGCAGCTCCCTGGTTGGTCATCTTGTTGTATGATTGACCATACCTTGTGACTTTTAGGGTTATCTCCAAATTTGCCTGTGTCCCTCTGCCATCCAGGCACCAGCAGTATACTGTACATCCATCTTAAGGGAGTACTGATAATGTATTTGGACTGTCCTGATACAAAAAACAAGTTAATCACTTGCTTACATGCAAAGACCACTAAATGATCCTGTGGCTGCGATCACAGATACATTCCTGTGACAGGCAACAGGCTGTTTGGTCCAGGCACTCAAAGATTTTAAGAAATACTCAATATCACAGAATTGTAAGTGAAATAATAGGTCTTGTCCCTACACTGACAAACCCATAACTGTCAAATGATATAATCTATCCTAACAGACAATATAAGGTCCACATCTCACCTCAAGAAAGCTTACACAATAGGGTATAAACATCAGCACTCCAATGGGATCTTCTTTAAAAAGCTTTCCACCAGGAAGCAGACAGTACTATGGCTTGTTTCAGATGTGTTTGTGTGAATCCATATCTTGAGTATAGGAATGAATGTAGTGTCACTCGTGGTAGCCCTACATCAGTTCTAGTTATGCCAGGTCAGGATTAAAATTGTGTCATCCATGGTGCCCTTTTTTTGCTGATTAAGTCTAATCTAGTTCTCTGAAGGTCTGAAACAGCTTTGTATGTGTATAATGTCTGCCAGATGTTGAGCATAACATGGTTATATTGACTGAACATTTCAATGGTATGTGACAGTACTGGTCTCCCCCAGTCTTGGACATTATTAGCAAACTCAAAGGTACACCCTTAAATGGCACAAATATATTCTCAGAAAGGGGACTGGAAATCAGGGAAAGGGCAGGTGCTCACTTCCAGCAATTAAATTGCTTTAGTGGGAAGGGTGGATGCATGCTGTAAATTTCTAAGACAGAGTACAAATAAAGTCCTACCCACAAGCCAATATGAAAGAAGTCAGTCTATGGGAGTAAATTTATTGAATTAACTTATTTACTTTTTGCTCTTAATTTTTCTTGCTCTTGTTCTCCAGTGTGGAAATTTATTGAACTTCACACTTTGAAAGTGTTACATATATAGGGACATATGGTCCCTTGGATTAAAAAAAACCCACCAGATCAGTCATTATATAAACAACACACAATAACAGTATCTTTCAAATCTATATTATTTTTTTAGGAATTTCTTGAAACCACATTTAACAAGAACCATTCTGTTCTCTGGAGAATAACCATGCTTGCATATGGATCACTGATCTACAGGTACTGCGTTAACTCTGAGCACTGTCCTGGAAACGCACTGCAGGTACAATATATTATCATTTGAATGCTGCTTATTGTTTTTTTTTTATTTTCCCTACAGCTGTTAAAAAATTACAGCGGTTACCATGTCAACATCACTAGATGTTATAGCATTAATATTGAGCACACATTCCAAAATGTCATTGTTTTACAGTTGATGCATTTTAAAATGTGAACTCCTGACACAGGGTTAAGTTAAAATTGAGATAAATTTTAAAATAGCAAATTACCAAAACATCAAAACTGGGTGATTTAAAAATATCAATGTAAAAATTGCAAATTTGAAATTTACAGTGTCACATTTCAGCTAAGGATCATGTAGTTGATAACATGTCTTTTACCAATACTTTTAGTTTATGATGTTATGTCAGAGAAACTGTCAATCTGCTGTAACCAATACATGTCCTTGTTGTACATGTTGTGATCCCCTTCATTTAATTATATATCTTGGAAATCCTTGTCAGAAGCCACATGATTAAGGTTCTGACTGACCAAAAGCTACACTACCTGTCGCCCACATTACTTTATTTAGTTAGAATTTAGTTTTTAGTTACTTAATTGCAACATGCTGGTTACAAGACATCTTATAGAACATGATATCTCAAGATGAGTACCTAGCATATAACTTGTAATAATAATGACATTTCTCAGGACATGGGAAAGGTTCCTTTGGAATGCTTTGATTTCCAAAACCAATAGCCACAAAGAATTTTAGAAAAAAAATGAAAAAAGAGTTATTAATGAAATGAAAAAGAAATAAGTCGTAATATCCTTAGCCCTACCTCACATGGAGGAGAAATCCAAAAATTAATAGTTTGTTCTTAAATACAAAATAAAAGATACACTTCAACATAAGTTTGAAGGTAAGACTATAAAACTTTTGTGTCTGGTCCATGTAGCATACAAGTGAGCCACTTGTTAAAGTATGAAATAAGCAGTCTTGCAGTGAGTTACGTGGAGCTGACAAACAACACTAGTTACTGCTGTGCTTGATCAACTTGGACTGGCGCTATCCTGTCACAATTATGTTAACATCTACCCTGGAGAAATTCTGAATAACAAAAAATAGTTTAAAACAAATATTCTGTTCCTCTTCAATTTTCTTACAGCCTCTTCATGATCTTGCTCTTGATGCTCTCAGCAATGGCAATGAAGAAGACATGATTCTAAACTTGAAGGCATTAGGGAATGCAGGCCAATATGCCAGCATGAAGATCATTATGAAATTCCTGCCAGGATTTGCTTCTGGAGCTTCACAGCTTCCTACCAGAGTCCAGAGTAATGCAGTACTGGCTTTGAGAAAAATTGCCATCAAAGATCCCAAGAGTGTGCGTATTTATTTTTTTAATGCAGTGGAGAGTGTGAAGCAAATTAGTAGCATAGCGTACCAACAAAAAATTATGGGAATTACATTTTCTTAAATTTTACCATTGTTTAATTGAAAATGTATTTTTCTTGAAAACAAAAGTGGTTTTTAATTTGCAGTTGTGTATGAAGTATAAAAAATGAATAGATGTATGTAAAATAATATATTTAGTACAGTTAAAGGGGTAAATACAATTAGTATCTGGTGCTTTAATATGGACTGAGTGCAGCCATGCTCTATTTTATGGTCAGAAATTTTGAGTGTTTGGTCTTCTCTATAAAGGTAACTGGAAACACCTCATGCCGTGATGGGAAAAGGTTTAAGAGAATCCTAGAAAAAGAATAGTTTATGCTTATCAGTCTGTAGAGGGTTACAAAACAATTTGAGGCTTCTTCCATCCACTGTCAGACAGGTACACAGGACCAGATGTCCTGCCAAGATCTCCTCAAGAGCAACCCAAAATCATCTAAGAAGTCAGAAAGACCCAGAATAACATCTGAGAATCTGCATACCTCTCTTACCGCAGTTAATGTCAATATAAATGCTTCCACTGTGAGGAAAAGAGACTGAACAGGACTGGTTTCTATGGGAGGATATCTAGGAACAACCCCTGAAAGATCCACAAAAATTCTGGAAGATTGTTCTATAGACTGATGAGTCAAATTTGGACTTTTTGGCCACAATGAGATGAGAAACTTTTTATATGGTGAAAACCAAACAATTGCTTTTAACAGAAAAATCTTATCCTGAATATCAAGCATGGTGGTAGGAGTATCATAATTTGGGGATGCTTTGCTAACCAGGACCCAGAAGGCTTGTCACCATAGACAGAACCATGAATTTGTTTCTATATCAGCAATTCTGGCGAAACCATCAGGAAAAAGGCTGAGGTGAATGGTCTTCATGAGACAATAGCCAGAAACAAACATAAAAAGAACATTGGTGTTCATTCAAAGGTAGCCAAAGAGCACCTCGATGATTCACAAGATCACTGGGACAATATTCTGTGGAGAGACAAGTAAACAATTGACACAATGAGAAAAGTTTAATGTATCAAATTCTGGAGGAGAATGTCAGACTATCCATTCATCAGCCGAAGCTTAGCCAAAAGTAGGTTATGCACCAAGACAATGATCCTAAATTTACAAGTGGATCTACAACAGAATGGCTGAAGAGAATGTTTAGAATTTGTGACTGAGAAGGTCAGAATTTGGACCTAACCCCACTGAAATATTATGGCAGGTCCTGAAGCAAGCTGTTCATACCAGGAAACCTTAAAATATCATGGAATTGAAGAAGTTCAATAAACAAGAATGAAGATTAAAAGATAGGGATTCATCTACTGAAAAGAGGAGGGAATCAAAATATGTTAAATCTAGCCAGTCTGTAACTGGAAAACCAAACATTTAGGAGGAAATATGCAATAGACAGGAGAAAGAAATCTGTGCAGCATGTGCATAAAAGTGATGAAGGAGACAGGCGAGAAGCTGAGAGTCCACATTTGATTTTTTCAGGGTGTCTATAAATGGAGAGCAGGATAGATCCATAAGGATCATTTACATAAATGAAACAGGAAAATAGAGTTAGACAAAGAACTTTGCCATGAAACCTGAAAGGAATGATTAGTGAGGTAGAGACAAGCAAGAGATTTCATATTTTGAATAAAATGCTGAATGTATCCTCATCAACTTTCCCAGGTACAAGACATTGTAACAAAAATCTTTTTGGATAAAAATATCCATGCTGAAGTCAGAATGTTTGCTTGCCTGGTCATATTTGAAGCAAAACCATCTATGGCTCTTGTTTCAACAATAACTGGATATTTGTTGAAGGAATCCAACCTACAAGTAGCCAGTTTCTGCTATTCACAAATTGAAGCACTTGCAAGATCTGTTACTCCTGACAACCAAGAGCTGTGAGTGGTCAAAACATAATTAAAATCTTTTTTAAAGATAATAAATTACCATACAATGCAATGTATCATAATATGCTTTGTTACAATGTTTTACATTGATTTTTCACAGGTCTATTGCTTGCAGTGCAGCTGTGAAGATTCTGAGGCCCAAGCTTGCTCATCTAAGCTACCGTTACAGCAAAGCTTTTCATTTTGATTGGTTTCATGGTAAGCACAAATGTCATCCATCCTTAGATAGCCTTTTATTGCTGATAAGCATAACATCAGATATACAGTAAATGTCAATTCCTAGTTACTTAAGTAACTGATGTGTAAAATGCAATCAAAGCTTGTGAATATGTTACATACCCTTACTAATGTAGCACTGTTAAGGTCTAGACCAAATGTTTTAGTAAACAAGAGACATCTACCCAAAAAACATCCGAACCAAGAAGATTTCAAACAATAGCCTGAAAGGCTATTGAAATTGCTTCAGAAAATGTTGTTTTTTATGGAGTTTACAACAAACGTTCGGGAGGGATAACAACAACCAAGTTCAATCAGACTCAGCTGTCAATAATTATCAATCGCTTCTGACATCCATTCCTCTCCCAAAATGCTATAAATACTGACAGGATCCCTATCTCTCTCTCTTGCATGTCTCTTGCATCCCACCTCTACCCCATCTCCACCTCTGCAGCTACCCCTTGGTCACCCTGCATGGGGGTCCTGGCCTCCTTGTTCAATGGCCGGGAGGTTAGCCCTCAGCCAAGCGGGTTAAGCCAAAATCTCGCTCCATAATCCTACATGACGCTTTAATCTTGGGTGCATATACAAATACAATAGTTGTATTTATTAAAAATAATTTAAAAATGATCAGAAATTATCAATTTTAATAACACTCTTGCACATACATTAAATGCATGTCTATACATTTATATTTCTAAACAGATTTTGTTTGCTTAACAATTTATAGCATTTTTGAAGTTCCACAGAAAGTAAACAATAGATAGAATTACAAGTGCAAGCACAATAATACTAGTATAAAAAGTGATACACAAAAGCAAAATATATACAAATACATAACAATTAAGGAAGTTTGGGAGTTCAAATTCTAATCCCAACTTCAGCATTACAGCAAATCACACTGGTTTGCTGGGTGTAATTGTCCAGCAGGATGTGACAATGCTCATCTCCAACTGGTACTGTCATTTCATCATTAGAGATAATATTATTTATGGTGTTTAAACATTTAAACATTTAAACATTTAAACTACCAAACTTGAGTACCAGATACAATAATGCAGTACTATGTAAGCATTATTGATGATGTCATTGATACCTGAAAGGTCCAAGTTGAAGCCTGAACAAGTGTCTTGACCAGGTACTGCAAGAGGTCAAGAACTGAGTAGTTCTGATTTCTGGGTAGTTCATTCCAAACAGTGGGGAGCAACTATGGGGGATAAAACACATGAATGGTGTGGGAATAGACATAGTGTGGTAGAAGAGGTGTGGAGGCAGAGAGACAGAGTAGAGGGAGAGATAAGATGATGAAGAGGTGGTACTGTACTAGAATGTTTGAGACAACAATGGATGAGAACAAGAGTTTTCAATCAGAAGATATTTCCACTTTTAATTTAATTAAATAACACTGTGTTTATTACAGGTTAATCTAGTTCTACATCACCCTGTGACCCTGAATGTTATCAGATGTTAATGTTATCAGAATAGAATTTAAATGAATTACCAAAGATACTGTAGTTCTTCATCATCTTCATAATTTGGATGGATTGAATTAGATTCCTCTTACCGCTTATCAAGTTTATTCTAAGGTTTAAGTGCTGAATTAAATCCATTTATTTGTTTGCTGTCTTTTCAGATCCTACCTTGTCAGGTATAGCAGCCGACCTCTATATGATTAATAATGCTGCCAGTTCTCTACCAACGGCTGTTGTGTACCGATTTAAATCCTATTTTATTCAGAGAGTAATACAACCCTTGGAGGTAAGTGTAGATGATTATATTTAGCCTTTTTACTGCTTTAAATTTTCTTATGAATTTCTAATACTGTGCACTTGCATTTTCATAGATTGGTTTACGTGCTAAAGGAATTCAGGAACTTTTCAACAAAAATCCCCTGCCAATCAATGGCAGACCTGGCAGAATTGAAAAAATTTTACAAATGGTAAGTAGTATTGGATAATGGATCTTAAAAGCTGTAGTATTCAGTCAACAATTGACATGTATAAGGATATAAAGAGAATACGTTCAGACGCATTATATAATTTAGAATTAAAAAAAGAAGACTCTCTGATCACTAAAAAAGGGAAATAACAATCACCAAAGCAAAATTTAAAATTAATCTAACAAAAAGAGAATTCAAGGTGATGTTTATTTTTCAAAGTCAACTGCTTTAATGTTAAGGTTGTAGAACTGTTAACAGGAACATTTGACATATTAAATTAAAACAGAAAGTTTTACAGGAAATACAACAATAATCTATTCTTTTTTAAAAAAAACATAAACTATTAGTTGTCTGGATGGAAGGCCATACCAAAAGAAACTCCTCTTGTATCTGGCTATGTGAAGTTTTTTGGCCAAGAGGTATTCTTTGCAGATATCAACAGAAATATGCTATACAACAGCATGCAGGTAAGACTTGCTCTTCAGACCTCTCATTAATTAAGTTTAATTCTGTGAATACACAGATTTAAAAAAGCACAATATGTTCAGTTTTACATCTATATGCAAATATGTTCATGACGTACTTCTGAATTGTTCATTTGAAATAACAGAAGATTAGTTAACCCTGCATTAAATGATTAAGTAGTGCATTTATACTGTATTTATGAATTTTACTTAATCAAAATTGTCTTTCAACAGTTACAAAACAGGAATAAAAATGCACCTTTATAATGCCGGATGTTATTGAAAATACTTCAGGCATATGAAGAATTATCTTTAAAATGGACTAATAGGAAATCTACAATTTGCTTTTTTCATAGACCCTTAGCACAATGGCAGGGAAACAAAATAATACATTGAAAATAATTGAAGATCTTCAAAATGGCATGGCACTTCATTGGACCAAACCATATTTGATATTTGAAACACGCTATATACAATCCACTAGCCTTGGTCTCCCAGCTGAAATTAGCAAGTATTACTCTTCTATGATGGGAGTATTCATTAATGGTAAGTACAGTATTAGTGTTTAGATCTGATGCACTTACTTTTATGTAGCTTATGGCTTACGTAACCCTGGTTGATAACCATCTTGTTTATAATTTAAATAATTTCAATAGTTTCCATTATTATTTTTTAATATCAGACATACATTTCAGAATTTTAATAATAATTGTCTTTAAAGGCAGTGGAAATAAAAATATTTTTAAATGAAATACTGTACTTTAGGGACAATATGGTCTAAAACAGAATATTGTGATTTGAAGAAAAAGGGTAGAGGTGATAAAATAGTGCAACACAGTAAGACCTTTTTTAAAGTTAGTTTTTTGCCCTTTCTTTTACAAACAAACAAAGAACAATGCTTGCAATTATGTATAGAGATATTCACAACTGGCTTTTACAACAGACATTGTAGTGTCACACCAATATTATATTACACTACACAGCCCTCTCATACCCTTTGACCCAAGCAGATTGGACAGCACTGTTTACCTCATTGCTTCTCACACCACCAGGCAGCTTGGGTGCCACTGTAATCTCAAGTGACCTGGAAAACACTAATATAACACTCCTTTTCCTAAACTGCATTTTCTCTGGTAGATAACATATTAAATGTAACATTTTAATTTCTAACAGATGTGATATTCTTATTTTTTAATTTTATAGAAATACAGCTGATGAATAGTGCAGTTTTGAAATTACAAAGTTATTTTTTTAAAGATAAGACATATCTGGTAATTAGATGCTATCACTATGTGTTTTGCAGCCAAAGCTAAATTTGATCCAGTCCCTTCAAATCACTTAGGCCAGCTAATGAACTCAAACATAGACCTACAAGCAGATGGCAGCATCAGGTAAAATATTAAGTCAGTCAAGATTCTTCCATTTTCCAATCCCCTCTTTAATTACCATAATGCTTATTGTTCAATCATATATTTATATACTGGAAGACCAGAAAAACACAATTAATAAGTATTGGAATCAATAGAAGTTATTGTATTTTTGAGTATTCTACATATAGGGTAATAAACTAATTATATATATACTGTATACAGTATAGCTATTATTCAGTGATGTTATATTTATGCTTCAACATACTCTATACCCCAAAATATTACATTTTTCCCCAAAGAAAATGATTTAAGCAATGCGTCAATATCTATTATTTTCTGCTTTGTGTTGCAGCATAATCAAAGATTTTAGTTGTTTTCATGGAATTAACACTGACATTGTGCAGGCTGCTCTTCAATTTGATGGAAAAGCAAATGTAGTCTTACCATTTAAAGTGAAAATCAAAATGAATATAAAGGAAGGGAAGTTTCAGATTGACATGCCTCCATGCCAAAGGGAAAATGAAATAATGTCAGTCAGGTACAGTATATTTCTCTTACTATTTAAACACTGTAATAAACATTCCATTCAAATAATTCACACATTTATTGATTATAACATGATCTTTAAATACTGAATACTATTTTGTATATAACATGATACATCATCTGAAGGCCCTTTACAATAAAACAGTAATGTGAATACAAATTAATTTTTATAATTTTGGGAAACAAGAAGTAGTTAGAGACTGGAGGTAGCAGGGATCCTTATACACAGTGAATATAATTCCTAGTGAATATCACAAGAATAAAAGTTTAATGTCTAATTTTCTTTAATTTCAACATTAAATACAACATGTGGGATTCAATGTTATCCGTGTAATTTGTTTGCAAAAAAATATTATTTTTTACCTCAATGTCAAACTTTTTACTAAAGTGATTCAATAATGACAATTAAAATATAAAAAACTCCCTTTTTTCCCTCTTTTTTAAAATAATTTTTCACCACAAAATGGACAAATAACAGCATCTGAACCTCAATATGAATACAGTATGTCTGCATTTAATCATCAGTATATTCATATAAGTATTTAAAAAATAATGTAATAGTTCATTCAATGAAATTGTGCAGTTACACTGTCACCACATGCATAATATATACTTGTAATATTAAATGTTCTTTTGAAATGCATACTTCTTCCATTTACACAGTAAACATCTTCCATAAAGCACTGTATAACTCAGTATAACTACTTACTATTTCTTATTGAAAACTGCAGCTCTCAGGTGTTTGCTATCTCAAGGAATAGAGAGGACTCTGCTTCAAAAAAGACACCAGTTGTTGTGGTACCTGACACCAGGGAATCTGAAAAGCACAACGCATCCTCAAATGAAGCATCTAGGAAACCTAAAAAAAAATTGGTTTGCTTTTACCTTTGTTTTAGCAAATTAAGATTTTCAAAATGATTGCAGGGACAAATTTAACAACATTGTACCATATTTTATATTCTAAAGACAAAAACAAATTCTACATCTAAATAATCATTTCTAGTGTCTACATACAGTACATACTGTATAAAATAATAAATGGAGATTAGCAATAATGTAATAAAATCAATAAATCGTTATTACATGTTTTTACTATCTTCCTTCAGAACATTTTATTACATAATCCTTGTGTATCTGTTTGATTTTAATAAATAGTTGAATCATATCAGAATGTATCTTTTCTTCTTCCAAACAGGAAGAAATTACCTCTACAAATCTTCAACTGAAATCGGGAGACAAAGTGTACTGGACAGATTTCGCTCAGATGTACAGAGAAGAAGCACACTTGTGTGTTAAAGCAAATACCTTTGGGATGGAAGTCTGTCTAGAAACAAAAGCAAGAAATGCATTCTTTCTTAATAGGTGTCCCTTTTATTATTTATTAGGAGAAAACTACATTAAATTAAAACTTAAACCAGGTACATTTCAATGCGAATAATTAAGATTTGTATAGAAAGTGTTGAAATTCATGTAAAAACAATGAAAAAATAAATCTTCATAAAATACTGTCTAGGATCTTTGACAAATTTTGGTCAAGGTACAATGTTAAAACATTCTCATTCATTATACTGTGATACCTGTAAAGGAGATTTATTTCAACATTAGGGTCATTTAAATGCATTGGAAACCATAATATTGAGCTTTGTCTAGCTGTGTGCTTCACCTTGTGTATATAGAATGATCCAGCACTCTTATTTACTTTTATTTTCTAGTGCAGTATGTTATTTTTCTTCTCATCCCAGAGTTTGTATAGTATTCCATACAGGTATGATTGTGTTAAAATATAAACCTATGGAGGCCAGACATGAATGTGGAAGCAGTCTGAAATCTTCATTTAAAAAGCTGCAAGAGGGTAGAAAAGGACAATTCTAACACATCTTCACGACCCAGTCCTCAGAGTATAGACAGTACAACAGCACTGAAAATCTCTTTTGGGGATGCTGATGTGAGAATTTGTAACTGTGGTCATGTTGGTTATTGGAACACCAGTTTGGCCAAGTGAGCAACTGCAACTGTTCTATCAGAGAGAAAGAGAATATGAACTGTTACTAAGACATTCATTAAGAAGCAGTTTATGTTTACACAAATGTTTATTTTGGCCCCCAAGCCATTATTTATCTTTATTTAGTTATTGCTTTAATATTTAACATTGCAGTCATAGACTTATTTTGTCGAAACAGTTTCTGTTTTACAGTTTCCATGCCTCATTTATTCATTTGTCTCCAAACCTTGATAAAATCTGAAAATGTTGTCAATTCAAATCAATTGCTTCTTATAGCAAGGTTTGGATATATCAATGTAAATACAGTTGTAAATTATTAATCTTTATTTTGAACACACAGAAATATATTTTTGAGATACTGTAAAGTAATTATTTATGCTATGATTTTATGCAGTCCCAACAGATGGTACTATTCAGAAGATCAGTATCAAGATGAATGTAGGATCAGATCAAGAATCACAAAGGTTAAATCAGATGATGATAGATGCCCTCAACAGTTTAAAGGTATGAATTTTTAAATATAGTCAGTGAAAGTTCTAGTTTTCATGAACAATTATGAAAGAACAGCATAAAAAGTAAAAACAGTCCTGGAACTAAAGCACATAATATTTTATTTTAATTTTCTATTAAATTAGATTTGATTACATTTGACAAAATCTTAGGAAACCATAACTATTATACATTTTAACATATTTTTCTTGATGTGACATAGAAACAATCATCCAATTCCACAAGGAGCATCAGTTCTTCATCTAGTTCTTCTGGTAGCAGTGAATCATACCAAAAAGGACAATATGCCCATAAAAGCAGACAGTGGCACAGAAAGAATCCCTCTGTGTCCAGCTCCTCCAGTTCATCCACATGGGAGCCAAGACATGGTCGGAAAAGACCACATTGGAGCAAAAGCAGAGTCCTGCGTACTGACAGAAACAGCACGGGGTCTTCAAGCTCCTCCTCACAGGAATCAGTAAGTAACTCACTTGCCATACTTTTTTTCAAACCAGGTGAGCTCATCTTTCAATAGTCAAACCAATACCACTCCTTATATAATTACAGGAAAGGTCTGATCCTGATGTATATGATGATGATGATTTACTCCAGCTATCCAGGTCTGAGGAGGTAATAATTGTTTGATTAATCACTTGTATCTGTTTTTATTTTTCCTGTGTTTTAGTGTGGTAAGTTTTAGAATCTATAAATTAAAATAATTGAGTTACTGGAGGTGATTGGTCTGAAAATATTTTGATGAAGCGGGATGGCAGATCAGTATAAAATAGCCTCTCTTTTGCAGTCAAGAGTGTTTGGGAAGTCATCACAGCCCACAGTTACTTTCCAGGCTGTCGTAGTAAGGAGTAATGCCAAGCAAGAAGGCTATGTAGCCACTGCTTGCATCTCCCACACTACAACAAAAGACAAAATGAAACTACTGATTTCTGATGTTAACAAAGAAAGCAAATGGAAGATGTCCACAGATGCTGTGATGGATATGGATCCCTTGAGAACAAAGGTAATATCAATTTATATAATTATTTATACTCCATTATGAGTTCCACAAAGTAGAGGAGATTAAGGACATTAACTATATTTCTATTATAACATATATCCATCCATCCATTTTCTAACCATTTCTTCCAGTTCAGGATTGCAGGGGTGCCAGAGCCTATCCAGCAAGCAACAGGTGCAAGGCAGGGTACACACTGGTTGAGACTTTGGTCCTTCGTAGGACAGACACACAGACACACACTCACTCATTCACACCTAGGGACATTTTTCCCAGAAACCAATTAACTTAAGAGTATGTTTTTTGACCATGGAAGGAAACTGGAGCACCCAGAGGAAACACACCTGAACAAAGGAGGAACATACAGAATCCACTAAGAGAGCAGTGCTGCATTACATGTGGGTTGGCAGAAGCTTGCAGTTTCCTGTTGCCATGAGAAACTAACATTCACAATAGCATTTAGACTCCGGCTGACTCCATGTGAATGATGTCAGGCCATTTGTTCTTTCAACTAGCTGCCTTTTAATCAGGCAGCGAATCATCCAATCAATCTTCTACTTAATCAGCCTATTTAAGGTTTTTGACTCTGCTATATCTGTACTACAACATTGAGCTCCATAGAGCCATAAGACACTCTGTCTCTGATCAGTCTCTGATCTCAGCAACCTAAATTCCAAAGTGGCAATTCAGCGGCTATTCACACTATTTTCTGGCAGCTCCCAGCCAGCTGGCCCCACTGGCCCCACTGGCCCCACTGACTTTAATCCTTCTGTCCCTCTGCCTTTAACCAGCTATCTCACTGCCTTCATCCCACTGGTTTCGCTGTCTTCACTCAGTACCCCCATTGTCAAGCAACCTGGGCAGCCCTCCTGCTAGCCTCACTGTACTCAATCCAGACAGCCCTCACCCAGCTTTCTGCCAGCCATCAAACCCTGATATCCAGCCTGCCAGCTCATCCCTCCACTAAGTCTTAATGCCTCCTCAGATTCCCCTAATCGCCTGGAGATGTACAAAGTCCTGCACTTGGGTTTCAGTCTGTCAGTTCTCCACAACGCTGCTACGCAGTACTAGCATCATAACACCTGGGAATTAAACCCAGGGCTCCTATCTCAGGAATGCTAACCACTGCATCACTGTGCCCCCAATATATTTTACTATTGCTATATTATATATTATAATTAAGTGTAGTTAATATTATAACTGAAAAAAATGTTATTTATTTAGTTAATTCAAATAATAAAATTTAATTCAGTACTATTCATAAGGAGTCTTATTCTAAATTACTCAGGTGCCCGCCATGTAAGATTCTGATCTGCCATATTGTTTTAGAATCATGATACATGGAACTATAATTAAATCAGCTAAAAAGCCCTTCTTTTAGTTGTCTGAATTATAATATGTAAGTACAGTGTCTTTTTCATGTTTAAACATTTGTAAATACATATTAAATACCAAATGAAGCAGGGACACTTTAAAGGCTTTTGTTTCTTTTTTAACAGGTGCAAGTTAGATGGGGAGAAGACCATTGGAAATACAAATTTGCTGGTGAGGCTAGATATGTGGAAAAATGTGGATCTTATCCTTCTGTAAAGGCCAAGTTACAGTGGGAGAAAGTGCCAAGATTCATGAAGACATTTGGAGAAAAGTAGGATGCTTTACAATAGAATTAAATATTATACATTTGAATTATACATTATAGAATTGTACATTTCAGATAACTTGTTTCTGCACTAAGCCATGATGTCCAATGCCCTGTTTGAGGTATACAGTATTGTTTCCACCAACTTCACCACACAAAAATAGGCAGTCTCTACCCAAATTGCTTAGTTTTATGACTGAAAACCTATTAATGGTGATCAATTTACAATTACCTAGACAGAAGGGGAAATTAAAATGTATCAGACATTTACACATTTAGCTTTTTTATTTCTATAGATGTCTAGCTGTGTAGGTAGAACACCGAAAAAATACAGGTACTGATATAGGGTGGGGAAAAAATATAAAATATAAAAATATGGGCCAACCCAAAAAAAGAATAAATGACATAAACTGGGATTAAAAACAAGTCTGAAGCAAAAACAAGAAGACAGGATTTGAATAGGGACCAACTGTACTTGTATTTTGTTACTGCAATCTATAATGCTGACATATAGTTTAATTCTTGTCAAGCAGGATCACGATGTGACAATAGTTTACATTCTCTCACCTCTGAGGGAAAGTTGTATTACATGCCACTCTTGACAATAACATGCTTAAGGTAATAGCCTCTTTCAGTTTCAAAAGAAAGATGATACACCTACAGTGCCTTGCAAAGTATTCACCCCCTTCCAATATTATCACATTTTCTTGACAGTTGGTGTACATTATACACATTTAATAATAATAATAAGAAGAAGAAGAAGAAGAAGAAACTTTATTTTATATAGCGCCTTTAAAGGTGGCTTCTCAATGCGCTTTACAGGATGACAATAACAATAAATAAGAAGACTACAACAATAAATAAGAAGATTTCACAAGATAAGAAACAATTACAATTACAACAATACAACAATAATAATAGAGGAGACCGTGGAAGGTGGTACTAAGAAGAGCAGAGGGGTGAAGAATGGAACCAGTTAAGTAAAGGCTTTTCTGAAGAAGAAGGTTTTGAGTCTGGATTTGAAGGAGTTTAGAGAAGGTGACTCTCTGATATCCTTGAGCAAAGAGTTCCAGAGCTTGGGGGCATAGCAGGAGAAGGCCCTGTCGCCCATACAATGTAGACGGGCTTGGGGGACAGTAAGGAGAGCAGAATTTGAAGAGCGGAGGTTGCGAGGTGGGGAGTAGGGCGATAAAAGTTCAGACAGGTATTGAGGTGCCAAGCCATGTAAAGCCTTATAGGTGAGCATGAGGATTTTAAAGTCTACGCGGAATTTGACCGGAAGCCAGTGCAAGGACTCCAGGATAGGAGTAATGTGAACACTTGCACCAGACCTGGTCAGGATTCTGGCTGCTGAATTTTGGACATACTGCAGTTTGTTCAGAGTAGATTTAGATACCCCAGCGAGTACAGCATTGCAGTAGTCAATCGAGAGAATACAAATATGTTGATCAGCTTTTCAGCCACAGTTAATGATACTAAGGTGAAAAAAAGATGTTTTGACAGTATGCTGTACATGTGGGTCAAATGTTAAACCAGAATCGAATATAACCCCAAGGGGGTTATATTATATTTACAGTAAGTGAATCTATTTTAAATCTACCTAGACAGCTGAACTGAACACTGCTTTCATGTATGGAGTAATGAATTAGCCTCAAGGTAATACCTATACATTATTTTGCAGTTCATAAAATGGGATGTCATTGGAAGTGGGTGAATACTTTTACAAGACACAATATAGTATAGAAACAAATAAAGTTTTATTCTATGCTGGAAAGAGAAGAAAAAAAACACAACTTGTTCCTTTGTAACCTACGCATGCTGAAGCAGCTACCTACTTGAACTACTATATAGTACTGTATATACTATATACCACTGTACATATTATATACTACTGTATATACTATATACTACATTTAAAATATTTTGCATATTAACATTTTGTTTATATATATTTATTCTATATTGTTAGATATACTTGCTCTTTCAAGATAATCTTTAGTAACCTTTGGTCAAAGGTCTTAACTAATAGCATTAATTCTAATTTCTGCTTCTATTACCCATTCAGGGTACATGAATACCTGCCAGGTATAGCCCTTCTCCTGCAGTGTTATCAGAAACAACAGCGGAATCCCTCGCATCAAGTTTCTGTAACTCTCATGCCTACATCCTCCTCAGCAATGTTTGATGTTATCCTGAAAACTCCTGGGGTAGGAATATTTTTAATTAATTGTAGTTTTTTAATAGAATTATAATAATTTCAATGACCAATGTTAAACTAGCGTTCTTAACGAATGAAGCTTAACGTTTATTTTCATTCATAGCTATGTTTTTCAGTTTGTCTCATCACATTGTTTAATCCTCATATAGGCCATACAGTAACACTGAGAGTGACTGAAGCCTTCATACTAGCAAAAACATAAAGCACTTAGTTTTGCACCATCTGACTTAATTCACTTAATTATGCAATACTGCATACTGTATATAAGTACAAATGAGGGATTACAAAAAAGGTGAAAATCAGGATTTAACTGATGGGCTTAGCCAATAAGCAAAATAAATATTCATAACCCCCAACTTGTAAGTGATTTCTCAAACAAACTTTATCTAAAATCTAAAATACACTTCTCAGTCATCTAAAGGTGTAACAAAATAAAGTCTGATATATTGTGGTCCCTGAATTTAGGGTCCTAGAGAATAGCAATCTGAGCTCCAAACACAGGGTGTTGGAGCAGCCTTGGGAACCCTGAGATGGAGCTAGGCTCAATTGGGGGGAAAGAGAGAAATGGGTTCAGGCGAACTGGTTGATTGATGAAGGCAGGTTTGAATAATTAAAAATAGATAAAGTGATAACAATTAGTGGGAGGAAGAGTTAGTAACTGCCTTTTAAAAAGCAGAGAAGAAAAAATAAATAAACTGTCCACCTTAAGGCTAGTACTCCCAGTCAAAAATGACAGTCTCCCTGAAGGCAGTAGGAGGGTATAGGAGAGTTGATGCCGGTAGGCGACTGCAGGAGTGATGATAGACTAGCTAGCAGCAATATAGAAAGAAAAACTATAAACACTCCTCCTTGAGGCTAATTCCCCCAGCCAAAATAACTGGCTCCCTGAAGGCAATAGTGGGGCTGGTGAGTTAGTGCTGATAAGGTGACTGTGGGAATAGGACAAAAATAACAAGGTGAGAACAAATCTTGTGATCAGGAAAAATGCAACAGGGGATAAAAATCCCTGCACATTCACAGTTCCCGGTTGAAAGGCTTTAAAAAAAGAGAAAAATCCAGCAAAAAGAAAAAATACAACAGGAGAAAAAATCCCAGCTCATTCAGAGCTCATGGCCGAAAGGCTTGAGGTGCTGCTCATTGTAGCAGTGCAGTTGACACTTTTACGGTAGTTCATTAAATGTAGCTCACTGTTTGTTTGAATGTTAAAGAGAGCTCACACTCCACTGTTAGATAACTCAATATTATGTTCGGGATCCCTGACCTGATATGAGTGATTTTATTTCTTATTTGAGTTTGTTTATGTATTCATCTCTTTTCAGTTAACTGTGTATGGATACACTATTCCTCTCCCATTTGAAATTCCTACACACCGACGGTCCAAAGAAGAAATTGACCTAAAACCTTCTGGGTGCACAGATGTTGATGAAAATAAGGGTAAATATTGTATGATTTCTTAGAATATCAGCCATATTTATATTTTAATAATTTATATTATTAGAACTAAAATATAGTAATATATATATTAGAACTATAGTTCTAATAATTAGAATCAATTTAAATAACTCCTTATCCAATTCAGGATCACGGAGTCCTGGAGCCTATCCTGGGATGCACTGGGTGCAAGTGGGATACACCATGGATTGGATGCCAGTCCATCACAGACACTATGTACTGTATAAGGGTACAATCAGACACAGACTCATACTTAGGCCAATTTTTTTACAGAGGCCAATTTAAACTTCCAGCATGTCTTTGCAGTGCAAGAGTAAACTAGAGCACCCACAGGAAACCCATGTGAACACGGGCAGATAGCATCCTAGGAATCAAACAATGCAAGGCAGCAAAGCTAATCACTTTACCACTGTGCTACCCACAAATTTTATGGTAATTAACAGCAATGATTAAATGTCAGTGTATCATTTTTTGGCAGGTGTGGAAAATCATAACTCTTGGGCGTTATCTTTGTAGGTGCTAGATTTCAGTGTTCTAAAATACAATATTATCCTCTATATATAACACCAATACTAAATTCCTTTCTTTATGATGTTAAATGTTTTCAGCATCTATATACCAAACTATGCAGTGTATAAAACTGAGTAAAAATAACCACTGTCAAAGTGTTAAATTATTTTGCATTTTTCTCTTAACCTCACCATAGCCTTTGCAAAAACTATTGTACTCGGCTTGTTCCACTTAGTTTCCCCTAATGGACATGATTTAATTCTTCAATCAAATGGGTTTACCTAAGCCAAATATCTATCAAGGAGAATCAACCTTAATGTTGATCAACAAATTACAGAAATCTGCATTTTAAAAATTGGTGAGACAAAAAGTCTCTGGAATACTGAGTGAATTCCATTTTCTTTTTCAGATGAGTGCTCTGTTACTGGAAATAACTTTAAAACCTTTAACAACATCAAGTTTACCTCATTGCTGCCAAAAGCTTGTTACCACGTTTTAGCCCAGGATTGCACCGATGACCTCAGATTTCTGGTGCTGATGAAACAAGAAACACCCAACAAGAAAGAAGTTAATATCAGAACACCTTTCGGGTATGAACAAATTAAAGCAATTTTGATTTATAAGTACAATAAAAATAAGAAAAAAACTTTGTAAAATAATATATTTAAGAATTATATTTTAAGACATTAATTTGTTGCTATTTTTACAGCTCTGATAATCTGTATTTGATGCTCAGCTATACCTATCTATAGCTGATATTACCCTCATGTACTGTATATTGCAATTTTTGCGCCTTGGAAAATAAAGAGAACCAGTGCTTTACAGAAAAAAAAATGTGAAAAATCAACTGAATTGTAAATATTATGTATTATCATGTAAAAAATCCTGTATTGAATGTATAACAAAATAACTACTTTTATCAGTGAAAATAATTTTAACATGTTTTTGACAGAGTTTTATTATATGCTAATGTTACATTCTTACATGCAAGGCTGAGTGATGTTTACCCTCCATTAACCATTTGTTTCCAGATCTCTAAATATCTACCATACAGGTGCAGGGGATCTTGTACTGACACTGAATGACTCTCCAATGCTGTTGTCAACCTTGCCATTGAAAGACTCATCAGGTATGTGCATTTTTTAGCAGGTTAAAAAACATGGTTTTATACATTACATTCTTTCTAAAAGCTGTTGAACAGATGAAAGGGTGGAAAACAAAGTGTGCATATGCATTCATATTATGATTGGTTTTTTTTTACAAAATGGGAAATCTATATGAAAAAGAAATGCTTATTTGAAATGGATATTTCACTCATGTGTTTACTAATGAAACAATCAACAATATGCATCAAGTTAAATAAACATCAAGTTCTACTTCTTGTTCTTTTTCTTCTTCATATCTTATTATATATAGTAAGTCAGTATGTGTCAAAAGAACTAGAAGCAATTAATATACAGTAAATAACCTTCAGGGCCAGATGGTATTCTACCAGTAGTAGAGAATGTTATTCGTAAACTGTTAGCAACATCCTCCCAACAATTACTTAAACAAGGGCTATCCCTTTTGATTACAAAATACTAATGTAGTGCCAATTCATAAAGACAGAACCAATTATCGAACAATACTGTAACAAACAGTTCTTTCCGGACCCTTTGCGGACGACACAATCCGAAGAAGTGGGGAAACACTGGGGAAACGTCATGCAGGAATACGTGTCCAAGGTGCGCTGGTGCACGGGGGAGGTGTGGCCGAGGCAAACAATCCAAAAGAGTAGTCCTTAGAGAGTATCCAAAACACAAGGGTAAGTCCAAAACCAGGAGATCCATCAGAACAAGGAATTAAAACACGAAGGCCGGGTCGGAACCGGCAGACAGGGAACAGGAACGGGAACCGAGATTAAAACCTTAACGGGACCAGGCGCTTCCAGGTCCCGGACTCGAACGATACGGAAATCAGATGCAGAGCCTGGATGAGCGTCTGCGCCTGGCTTTTAAGGTGGGCTGGGAATAGGAAACAGGTGCACAGAATAAAGTCTCAAGTGAAAGGGCTGGAGCACCCTTAAGGAGGGGGGACTATAATCGTGACAAATACGTCTTACTTCTCTTATATGTAAGGTCTAATTTTTGTATTGGAAACAATAATCACAGCTATAATAGAGGATGATCTATATGGAAATAGGATTCTAAGCCATAGTCAGAATGGATTTAGAGTAAGTACTGTTGTTTCAGTTATTTTTAAAAAGTAACAGTAAAAGTAATAATGTACAAACATAAATATTTACTATGATACAGTATAATTAAATTCTCAGATGGCTTCTTATAAAGATCCTCATAAAAATGAATTCTTATGTTTGAGGTAATGAAATGCTTGTATGTTGGGATTAAGAAATGGTTAGGCATAGAAAACAGTATAAATAATGTTCCAGTTGGGGGTGATCTTTTTAATGGTGTACCACAGGGTATTATCCTCACCCTAATGAAAAGTATATCAATAATTTAGATTCTATCATTTTAAACCAATTGCATTTGCAGTTATGTTTTGTACACAATACAAAATTAGGAGAATAGATACACATTCACATAGCAAAAACATAAACTCAGAATTTAAAATGGAAAACAAAGAGCTTGCAAGAGCTACTGAGATGTGAAAGACTAAGGTGTACATTAACATTTTCTAGAAAAGCAAAACAAAATGTAACAATGTAAAGATTAGAGTTTAAAAGCATAGAATTTAAAATACAAAATGGTTATGGGCATTCTGTCATACTGCGCACTTGTAAAACTGTAAATTTAGAATATTTTATACAATTTTGTGCACTATAATACAAAAATTATATTGCTGATTTGGAATCAGTTCAGTGAAGAGCAACCAGCTATATTTCTATACTCAAAACAAATGGTCGTAAATGGACAAAAAAAGAAATACATCTCAGAAAAAAAAGTTTAGAAAGTGACCTGATTCAGTTATTTAGAATCCTCAAAAGCATTTACAAAATTAATCCATGGAATTCAGAATTAACAATGAAACATAAACAGGAGAATGAGAATTAAAACAAAGGGAGAGTATATTTAAAGCTAAGAGGAGGTGCAATTCTTCTTTATAAAAGAATGGTGGGACTGTGGAACAAGCTACCCTGCCATGTTGTTAAAGCTGATAACCTGGCTTCATTCAATAAATGGCTAAATGCAATATTCACATCAACTGGTTACTAAAAAACAAATAAGCTATATGAAACAAATGGCCTCCTCCCCTTTTCAAACCCGATTTTCTAACTTTCTAATGTGATAGCAACATAACATGTTTAACTTATTTTTAACAGGGACTTTACTTATCAGCAAACATGGAGATGGTATCTTAGTACAAGCACCAACACTTGGACTTGGAAGTTTATATTTTAGTGGAGAATCAGTGAAGGTGAGTTTTATCTTTTACTGCTACCTGATATTTTGATTTTTGCTTAGAATGGCTCTTGCTAATGTTCCTGTAATTTTGCTTTTGCTCCATTTCAGGTTGAGATTGAGTCCTGGATGAGAGGAAAAATGTGTGGCATGTGTGGAAAAGCTGATGGAGAAAAAAAGACTGAATTTAGAATGCCCAGTTGGAACACAGCCATGAATCCAAGCAGTTTTGTTCATTCCTGGATTCTGCAAGGAGAAGTCTGTTCAGATGGTAAAAATTTCCTCAAACAATACAGATATACTGATTGATAATTAACATAAATAGATTAATAAAATACATTGATTCATTTTTAATTCATATATTTGTTGTTTGAACAACATTTTGTAAACATTTTTTTAGTATTTATTTGTTTGATTGTTTGAGTGGGATTTCCTAAGAACTAAGTTTTCCATAGCACTTAAAAATATATTTCTCATTGATTTAACAGATGTACAGTATACTGTTGCATTACACAGTTGTGCTTTTAAAACTTTAATTGTGTTAACAAGTTATTCTATACAATTATAAAGGTACCAACAATGTATGTTAATGATAATGTCTAAAATGTCTAAAATACATAAACTGGCAGTATTTTTTAGGAACGACTAATAGCTTTATTCCATGCTAAAAAGAGAAGGAAGAAAACACAAACGTTTGGGCCGTGGAGCCTCATACAGTTGTCACATCATCAGTGTGGATTCTTAAATGAATGAAATATTCAATATCAGCAAAGCTAACAAGATGTTAAAAATCTGTTTCTAGATTATAGAATAATGTAACAAATGTATTGCAAGATATTGTATACAATTTTGAAGTTAATATATTATAAAGATTATTATAGTAGTCCAATAGGGAAACTTTTCAGAAAATCTAATTGAAAATAATTTTTCAAGAATGCTATATAATGTTTCTGTTGATGGTGCTATTTAATATTTTAAAACATTAAATTACACTATCAACAGAAAAAAAATTATGCAGTGTAGTTTTGTCTGTGAAACTATACATTAACTGTTTAACATCTTGTTTCAGTTTGTAAATTGCAACATCAGACTGTAAAGCTGGAGAAACATGTCAGCTTGATGGGAAGAGAATCAAACTGCTACACAGTGGAGCCAGTGCTGAGGTGCAGACCAGGATGTTCAGCATCTGACACAGTCCACATCTCGGTTCGATTTCACTGTGTTCCCCTGGGTAGGCTTGAGTTTTACAATGGTTTTTCATTTTCAATTTCACATTAAAATTGGCTGACTATCACATGTGGATAGTGTGTAGAAGTTCGATTTTCCTGTAAAATGGGAAATAATGCGTTAGGAAAATGCTTAGATATGCTCTCACGAATTACTGTAAATGTATAGGAAAATCCTTTGTTAAGTAATAAGTAATATAAAGTGCAAGTTTCAAATGTGTAGGACACCAAAAGCTCCTAATGGTTCAATCAACTCGACTGAAGCTCTTTGGTCCAGACATCATAAATCTGAACTCGGATGATGTTACTACTCAAGTTGTGACCAGGATTCCCTAAGTGCACAATTGGCAGAGCATTGGCAAGAAAAGGGATGGGATTCATTATCCAGGGCAACAAAAAAAAAATGTCTAAATATGAGTGGTTTGATGAATATAAGGGGTAAAAGTTTCCTGCCTTTCTTAATTCTTTCCAGATTAGGGAACATTTCCAAGTTGGGTGGATAAGAAAAACCCGCATAAGGCACTAGATAGTTATAATCAATTTCATTTACTTCATACCCAAAGCATATTTACATATTTATGTATTTGGTCTTTTATTGGATTGTAGCTTGTGTTTAAGTAGTATTTAAGTATTCAAGAAAACACAAAATATGGATGCCAATTTAATTAAAAGTGGGCAAAAATATAATTAAGCAAAAATATAAGTGGGCAAAAAAACTCACTGTCCATTGATATATATATATAATTGTTTCTCATTCAGTTCCCAGATTATAAAAACACCTATAGTAAGATATAGAAAAGTTTTTAAAACAGTAAAGACACAGAAATAATTACTTTAATCAATATCATCTAAATACAATTATACTGTACAAAACATTCATTGAATTGTGTAACTAAATGGCCTAGAGATAAATATGATCAAATTGTTCTAAAGTAGATAATCAGTTTTGGACAATGCAATTGTTGGACTGAGACACATTTAGTACTTGACAATGATAGTTATTATAGTAAAATATTTACAACTCATAAAGTGCTGAACAGCCCAGTACTAATTAGATATAAAAATCTCTATGCAGTAAAACTTTTGAAATCATATATTGTCATTTAATTTTGTGACAGAGATTTAATTATTTCATAACCATTTCAGAACTATTGAAAGTATAGGTTTTCTTTAAACCAACTAACGACTCAAATTGATTCTGCAGATCACAACTTGAGCCAAACAGAGATCGTGACCAAATCTGAGCAAATGGAAGGAATGACTGAAGCCCACATTGCCTGCATCTGCAGTGGTACTGAATGTTCTGAAGCCTAAATTGAACATAGGATCATTCCATATAAAACATAAAAAGACAATGCATTGAAAAACAAGCATGCCTACAGAGTGGCCATTAAATACACTATTGCATATCATGTCTGGTCTTTAGGTTGTTTTATCAAATTAAATTGTGTTAATCCATTAATATCCATCCGGTTTTTGACTGCTTCATCCAATTCAAGGTAATAGGGGAGCCAAAGTCTTTCCTGGAAAGCAACAGGTTCGCAGTCCCTTGCTGGGCACACATACTCACACGTTTTTGTGGAAAATCAAGATTGCTATTTGGAGCTCTGCCACGGATATAAACAAAGGTCCCAGAAGGTCACTGACATTTCTGTGCATGGTCAGCACAAAAAAAACAAACTGAGACCTAGCTCTACTTTGAAATCTTACTAAACACAGACAGAATGTTGTGTAAACTTAATGCAAATATTATTCATATGTGGAGCCCTCCATCAATAGCACACTTATGAACTACTAATCTTCCATTTTCTTGTCTATTAACAAAACAGTGAGCTACAAACATTCTTTTCATATGAGTATGTAACAGATGCCCCTCGATGGTAGCATAGCATGTGGATCTGCACATAAACCCAACCTTATAGAGGGAGATCAAACAGCCCAGGAAACCACACCAATGTTACACTCCCTGTAACTTCCCATTACAACCCCTGTAGCAGTGGAAGTTCCTTACCTATTGATTCAATTTAGCGGGTCTTGTTCTTCTTTCTCACCAGTGAGCCAACACAGAAACAACCAAAGCTGATATTTGATAAGTTATAGTCTTTGCCAGAATTCACTCCACTCAAATATACTATAATTTTTAAACAACTGCCTCCCAGTAATCTAACCCTGAAATCTTTTGCACTCACTGTTCCTGTGACTGTGAGGGCCTTGACAGACAAATTCTGATCCCAAAGTGAGTACTTTTATAGGGAGCTGGTGTCCCCAGGTGCAGCCACTTCCCTAATTTCCTCATTAAAATGTGGGGAATGCTTCCCAGGGACTGTTGAAACATTACCCCATTTCCACAGTCCCAGCTCATCAATTCTGCTACAGAGTGATTATCCTACTCCACAGCTGAGCATATTTCCCTACTAATTCACCGTAACAATAATTCAATATTGGCAAACCTTTACAAATGAAAATTCCTTGCATGTCAACATTGGAAAACACTGGTGATGAACAATGTAGGTGGTTGTCATTACTGCCCCTGAGTCCAATTCAAGAGGGTCAGTTCACCACAATGACTATACACTGCCATACCTGAATATTAAAGTATGGCATTATCCATTAGACTGGTCTTGTCCAAAGTAATGAGAAAGGGTCAGCACATGCTAACACTTGTGATTCCTGAGGAGTATATATTTGTATATCAGCCCTTTACTTCAGTTTGCTGTTCTATATGTAAGAAGGCTGAAATAAATTGTGTTTTTCCTGTTTTGCTAATGTCAATGACAGGGCACTTTCTGCAATATATGCAATAATTAAGATTGATAGATACACATGATACATTCCTGGTCATCTTGAAATGGCCAGAGGGGCTATATACTGAAATTGCTTGCTATTGGACATACATTTTCAGGTGACACATATTCTTGCTTCTTTTAAAAAGAAAAAGATGCCTGAGTAAATGGTGGCCATACAGTAGGTTGTTTAAGGAACTGTGGACAAAAAGGCTGGAGACATTATGACACACATCCAGCACCCAACTGCATCTGTTTCACATGGCAAGGCTCTCTGTCTCCAAATTCTGTTAACCCGATATCAGAGACTGGACAATGGCTCACCTGAAAAGGATACTGAGAGAACAGAAAGTCACGGAAGCAGCTTTTTGTTCTCATATTTGTCCTTTACCCTACTCTTGTATTTAGGCCACACAACAATTTAAGAAGTAATAGCTTCCCTAAGATGTGATCTTAGATCAGTGGTATGGATTCAGGACTTGAATTTGGGAGACATGAAGAGGTCAAAGAAGGAAGGCTAAAAGATACAAAGACAGATTTGCCAAGCTAATTAAATCAGCACAGCTGATGACAAACTTTCATATAGGCACTGCTCTTATATTTATCAATACTATACTGGCACCACTTATTGACATATGTGGCCCTTCTCAAGCATCTAGCTTAGACTGAGAAAAACAACTACTACTAAGGAATACACTTTTAACAAGAGCATAAAAGGATGGGTGATAACAGAATCAACACAATTACAAGAAAGGTTTGGAATGCAGTAGAGATGTAAAGTGGAAGACACAGAATCAAATAAATAAAAGCTGTTCTAAAGAATAAGTTTTGAAAGTGCCCAGCAAAGGTGACACTCTGATTTTCTTAGGGATAGAATTCCAGAGCTAAGGGGCAAGAGAAGCACCTACTGTAGCAAGAGAAGACCCTGTCTCCCATAGAACGAACAGTAGGTCGGCTTGGGAGACAGACAGAAGATCAAAACTGGATGAACAAAGATTGTGAGGTGGGGAGTAAGAAATTAATAAACCAAAGAGCTACTGAGGTACCAAGTCATGTAAAGCCTTATAGGTCAGCATGGAGATATTGAAGCCAGCACAAAACATGATAGGAAACCACTGAAACAACTAGGTCAGGATTCTGGCTGCACTATTTTGGACATACTAAAATTTGTTCAATGTGGATCTAGACAACCTAGTGAATAGGTCATTACAGTAACCAATTCCAGAGAAGAAAAAAGGTGATGACCAACTTTTTAGCTACATTCTGTGACAACATAGGATGCCTTCTGGCTGAGGTGGAAGAATGATGTTTTTACAATATTTTGTACACTTGGGTCGAATGTCAAGCCTGGATGAAATATCACCCCAAGTCAAATCAAGTTTTTCAATTTAGATTGAAATTCAAATACAGAGTCACACTGCAACCCACAGATAACATTACTGCAATGGCTTTACATAGTTGATGGGAGGTGACTAGAGGTATGACTTCAGTCATTATTTAAATGAAGACAGGCATGTAAAAAACAGACAGCAGAGCAACAGTCTGCCTCTAACACAGACCAGAGACAGCCACTTCAAGATTTCAGATTTAGTAAAGACATAAATTTGAATATTAAAAGCATATAAATGTCACGAACACGGACTGAAATCCGTGTCAGATTTTGTAGAAGACCCTATACGATGCGGTAGGAGCTGGAGAAAACAGGAGGCGTGGTAAAAAGGAACACACAGGGGTTTAATAGTGCACAAAATAATAGTGACAGTCCGTGA